GATGAAATATACTTAGTATGCCACTCGTTTATAAACTTAACTAAACTCTCGTTTTATTAAATACTCGCTCGCATGCTTCACTCGTGCCCAACTTAAACTCGAAACTAAAATTCCTTTTTATCATACTTGATATATAATATACTATTATTGTACAGGTCTAAGATATGACATTAATTTCATGGTTTTAGCACTCCCAAAGTCTATAGATTAAAAGGATAAGGTCTGTAAATGTTAATGTTACATGGCAACAAACGCAGATAGGTTACAGCAATTGAGCTACTGAACAACAAACCTATAGTGAAAGTCATGAGCCGTCGCGTAGTGTCATAGGTCAAGAAATTTTATCGAGTCTCGGTGATGTTAAGGTGAATCCTGTCATAAATAAATTTGGCCGAATTATCAATCTTGTTGCATAAATTTCGTAAATCACGATGGAGACGGCGCGCCGGTTGATTTAGGCAAGGCACACGTTGCTTAATTGCTTATTGTATTTCCCAAGCAATTTTCAGGTGCTAGGCGAATGCTTTGCATATTATGCATAGCTATGACAAAGTTTCTACGTTTCAAATTTTATGCAGCTTAGAATAAGATTCAAAATAAAAGCAAGATGTAATTGTTAAATATATATTAAATATTTAACATATTATGAGTATACTCATAATATGTTAAAAATTAATATAATATATATTATTTCAAAAGTTATGCATCAACCAAAATCTCCGTTTAGTCTTTTACTAAATGCTCTTAAAATAGGGATCGTTTTAAAGCTATTACCTAGGTAGAGTTCTTTTAATATTATAATAATTTAAAAATTCATGTCTTTATTTTGTTTCTTATATAATTTAATTGAAGACACTTTCTTAAAAAAATGTTATTGCTATTAGTTAAGTTTTATTGACCGTTTTTATTGCGTATTACTATTAAGCGCTGCTCTTATACTGCGTCCTGTTTTTAAACCGAAATGTCCTGGTATTTCCACTTTCAAATCCTGGTTTTCAGTTTGCTGATGATCTCAAGGTTCGTTATTTTTTCTTTAATTTTTCTGGTTTTCAAAAAAAAAATTGATTTATTATGCGTTTAAACAAGTGATGACTTTCTCTCGGTTGTCAAGTGGATGCAAATCTAATCAAATTTATTTTAACCTAATACCAGTAATATAATATAAAAAAGAAACATTGTCGCAATGTGGTGTTGTGGTTGGCTTTAAACTAAAACTTAAAAAAAATATACATAAACGTTTTTAATGAATGGGAAAGTATCTCTCTAAAAATTAACTAGTCAAAAAAGACTAATTTAATAAGTAGTTATTAGTGGCTGCTTTTTCAATTGTACCATGGTTAACCATGGTATCCCAAAAATCAACAGCCAATTCTTAATTAAAATTGCCCCCTGATTCCGTAAATAACGTCAAAAATTATTGAAGTGGAGTAGTTTTTGAGATATAGTCAATTCCATATTAAATGTAAAATTGACTATATCTTAAAAACTGTTCTACTTTTTTAACTTTAGAAGACATTTTCGGATTCAGGGGACAATTTTACATAAGAATTGGATCTTAAATTTTGGGATACCACGGTATTCCATGGTTAACCATGGTACAAGTGAAAAAGCAGTCACTAATAACTATTAAATTAGTCATTTTTGACTAATTCATTTTTAGAGAGATAACATAAACATTTCAGCCAAACCAAAACAGGTCCAGTTAAAAATGGTCGATTTGCGCCATATAGGTACAACATTAAAAAACACATTTAAAATATTTATAAATTTATCAGTAAAAACGTTTGACTCAAAACCCTATTTTGCATGGTTGGGTAATAATCAATGGGTATCAGTTAATACGAATTCTAAAATAAATAAGCGAATATCTATTAATTATAATTAATAATTATAATTATTAGCGAAAAATAAGTATTATAAAACTTAAACCTAGGTTTAACTGATAAATTAACGAATTAATATTAAATATCATTCTATTATATTTCCCAATAATTAAAAAAATTATTTTCTTGGATTTGCCGCTATTGTATTTATTGCACCTTAAAATCTAATTTAAATCTAATAATTACCGGATATTAAAAATACACCTTAAAAAACTATAGTTATAATAATGTCATGTTTAATTAAAGTTTGTTTACCATTCTTTTTTTTTACTTATAAAATCGAAAAATTGGTTTCTGGGCACCTTAAAAGAAGCCTATTTACTTATGAGCTCTTACTATTAAGAAAAATCCTAATTATTCCGCAAATTAAAAAAAACACTTTTTAAACTTTGACTTAAGGATATCTTTTGAATGGATAGGTTAACAAAAAAAATAAAATGCCTTTTTTGTAGAGAATTTAATTTACTATGATCCTATACAGTGTGTCAAGCATTTAACTTGAAACTTTGAAATATCTTAGTTGGTATGCATTTTACGAAAAAATGTTTAAAATAAAAATTAAATGATTCGAGGGGGAAACCAATCAGTACTAAAATTGGTCCTCATACTCTCCTCCTTATAGGGGGAACAGGGGGTAACTTTAAAATTTCCAATGGAACACCCTATTTTTTATTGCGGATTCGGATCATTCGACTAAAAATAGGTAAGTAGATTTTCTATAAAACATTTTTTCATATTTGTAATAGATGGCGCTGTAATGAAAAAATATATATATATTTCGATTTTTCTTCAGTATACGATTGTGCAATAATTTTTTTTATAAAAATATGGTAATAATTGTCTTATTAAATTAAATCTGATTTTTTAAGTACCCACTATTTTTTAAATAATATTTAAGTTTCCAATTGCGCACCCCGGTCACTTTTTACCTGCCAGCATTAAATCCTTTAATTTAAAGGATTATTATAATATTTTTAATAAAAATAATCTAATAATCCTAATTGAGGTATTAAAAATTGTATTTAGTTATAAACAATAATTATTATTGAGGTATAAAGAAACTATTTATAGTTTAGCATTATTTAATCAATTTAGTTCGAAGATTAATTTGCAAACAAAAAGACCTCCTTTCGTTAAGCAGTTATTCATAATGGATTTTTTAACAGTGGAAGAAAAAATAGAAATGATTTTGATCTATGAAGAAGCAGGCAGGAATCTTGATGATGCTGTTAATATCTACGCTCAGCGTTTTCCGGATAAAATTCGATCATGTATTTCATTTCACTGTACAGGCAAGCAGTTTACTACAAACCGAAAAAGAAATCGTCGAGCAACAGTCACAGGTGGAAATAATGAAATTAATGTATTAGCAGCAACGCCCGCTAGCAAGCACAGGAGAATTATCTAGAGATTTGGGAATATCCCAGAGCAGAATATTAAAACGAAATGCGAATTAATAAATGCATTGAAGTTAAAGGCCACCATTTTGAGCACCTACTTTAATAAAAATTTAAAAAATAAAATCAAGTATTTTATTCAAAAATTATTGGAGAATCGTATACAGAAAAAATTGATTGTTTTCATTACAGCGCCATCTATTACAAATATAAAAAATGTTTTTGACAAAATCTACCTATTTTTAGTCGAATGATCCGAATCTGCAATAAAAAATAGGGTGTTCCATTGGAAATTTTAAAGTTACCCCCTGCTCCCCCTATAAGGAGGAGAGTATGAGGGCCAATTTTAGTACTGATTGATTTCCCCCCTCGAATCATTTAATTTTTATTTAAAACATTTTTTCGTAAAATGCATACTAACTGAGATATTTTAAAGTTTCAAGTTAAATGACTCACTCTGTATATGTATTGGTTTATTGGTATTTACTTTATATTCATTTGTTAGTGAGATACATGTTTTCATCGGACTAATTTGAAAAGGAAAAATTGCAATAAGAAGGATCTTACTCTTAATAGTAAGAGGTCATATGGTTCTTTTAAGGTTCCCAGCAACCAACTTTTTGATATCATGAGTTAAAAAAAGAATAGTAGATTTTTTGAATCACCCTAATATATACAGCCCGTTCAGAGTAAAACCGAATATATCTATATATATATGGGGCGTGGCCTCGCCTCCCTCCAAGGCGCGTCACAGTAGCTTGTGTGATAAACGACATGACGAAAGGTCGAGCAGGTAAGACGACTTAAAAAATTAAATGATAATAATGCAAAAAATCTCATTAGCGATGCAGGCTATTTGCTTAGCTACTGTGTCTCACGTTGGAGGGAGGCGAGGCCACGCCCCATATATATATAGATATATTCGGTTTTACTTTGAACTGGCTGTATATATATATATATATATATATATATATAGGGTGTCCCAAAAAAAAAAGAATATTTTTTTTCTTCTCGTCTCTTATGAAAATATGTTGGTTTGTCATGTTTTAAGAGCCCTGTCAAAAGATCAGCACCATTAAAAAATTTTTAGGGGTCGCTCAAGATTTTCAAAAATTACCAAAATCGTCAAAAATTGGATTTTTTTTTATTTTAATTTTTTTTCTCTTTCCGATATTATTTTTTAATTTAAAAATAATAATGATTCTGAAAATTTCAAATCGATATTTTAATTTCTAAAGGTCGCTCAAGATTTTTTTAACTTTCAAAGTAGAGTATTTTGAATGTTTTCGAGCGACCTCTGAATATAAATATCAACGAACTTTTAGCGACCTTTAGAAATCAAAATATTGATTTGAAATTTACAGAATTTTTATTATTTTCAACCTAAAAAATAATATCGATACAAGAAAAAGAATTAAAATAAAACAAAAATTCAATTTTTGACCATTTTGAAAATTTTTAAAAATCTTGAGCGACCCCTACAAAATTTTTAATCGAGCTGATATTTTGAAAGGGCTCTCACAGCATGATAAACTAACAGATTTTTACAAGAGACAAGAAAAAAAAATATATTCATTTTTTTTTGGGACACCCTAATATATATATATATATATATATATATATATTACTTTGTGTAAAATGGCAAATCTAAGAAATAAAAGGAGTTTTTTCAATCTTCAAAAATTTAATCAAATTATTATTTTAATATTTTATTTTTTAGATTAATATTCGGCCTGGTCTGTCTGATAGGTAGTTCATTAGCAAGACCTGTAGATGAAGAAATCAATCAGGAAAATGATCCAGAAGCGGAAGCACCAAAAAAACCTGCAAGGCCGCTGATTGGCAGACGCCCATTAGCAGGAAGAAACAATAAACCTACCTCAAGCACTACTACAACTGCCGCACCTCAAGTAAGTCATTTCTACTTAATATAAAATATGTAATTTGGAATTAAAAATTCATAAAAAATGTCATTCATTCTGATGTAAGTCCGAGGGATTATATGCATGACAAAATTTCTATCTGGACTGAGTTAAGAGTTTTTCGTGCACCACTACAACTCCGAATCTTATGACATTTTCGTTTGCTTTTTTCGAGCGTATCCAAAAACACACAGATGCATTTTTAACTGGGTAAATTATTTATTTTTTATGTTTTTAGAAAATATGCAATTTTTATTTAAAATTTAGACACATTCTATTTTTCAAATTCAATTTTAACAGCTTTTTATATATTATTTTTGTTTTCTGTTATTATAATTTTTTTAACTAAATAAGATGGCATTTTTAAGATTTCCTATGCACTTTTAAAAATATGCGTTTAGGTAGGTACTTTTAAAAACAACCCCTTCTACCCTTCTACGTTTTTTAAGCAGGCGATTATATTTTCGTCTTTTTCAACATTTTTATACCCGAAGATTTTATGTCGTTTTCTAAGATTATTGAAATTTGTTTTTATAAAATTGATTTTTGATATTTAATTCGAATTTTAAATTTTAGTTAGATTATTCCAATGGTTCAAATAATTCGGATGGTTCAAATACTCAGAAATATTCGAATGGTTCTAATAACATTGGTCGAACTAATCAAATAAGTTAAACCATCATTAAACATGCGCGCTGAATAACACATGTAGGGAAAGTGAAAATATCATAGCTAAACGCTTGTACAGGTAAACTTAATTTTTGGTCGAAGATTACATATCCGTGCTTGGTTTAGTTGTATCAGGTCAAAATTCAAAGATATTTAATTTTCAAGTTTTGGAGCATCCCATTAGAAAACACTCTGTATAAATTTAAAAAAAAATCAATTGGGCTGGAAACTCAAATCAGTCCCAAATTAAAAAAAAATCTTGCAAAATTTGAGGTTAATTGATCAAAAGGAACACGTGTCCCTAAAGGTTTTTTTAGATAATTTAAGAAATTTTAGTATATTTAAGAATATTATATTATATTATACCTATTAAACAAAATAAAAAGCATAGAAAAGTTTGAACAAGAGGTGAAATATATTATTTAAAAAATTATAATACACCAGTATACAGTGTGTCCCCAGATCGGATTGCCAATAGAAAAAACTTTTTAAGACCTGATACAGCTATAGCTGTATAAACCGAGCAAGGATTTGGAATCTACGACCAAAAATTATGTTTACGTGTCCGAGCGTTTAGCTGTTGAAAATTTATCTACAGTGTAATTATTGTTTTAGAAAACCTACACTGTTTAAAATATCTGTGGTGTAAAGAGTAATCTTAAAATGGTGTTAAAATCCAACACCAAGTGGTGTTATATAAAATGTTTTATACAGAAAACACCAAAACGGTGTTTATCTAAAAATATTTGAGAAGTGCACCTACACAGAAAAAAAGGAATAGTTCATTTAACTATATTTATTTAGTTGACCCACAAGGTTAATATAAACAAAGATTAGTTTGACGGTACTAAAACAGATACTTATTTTATTTTTTTTAATTGGTTAAATTAACCCAGAAAACTTTAGTGAAACCAACCCGCTGTATGGTTCAGTTTACTAAATATGTTGTTTGTAAAATAAGAGTTACTTCAACCTAAAGCACTCTGTTACGATTAAAACAATTTGCCGTGCATTCCCGGTTGCAGGTGGGGTACACTATATAATATTTAGTAAATATCACTATATAATGTAGTTTTACCTGTAACTGCTAATTTGTATGTGCCTATGCCATAATCAGCCACTTCAGTTTCTACAATAAAGTTTAATTTAATAATATAATAGACCGCTTAAATATAAATATATTTTTTTTATTTGTTATTTTCAGTTTTCTACTCAATTTCCACTAAATTAAAGTCGCACCATATTACTTATTGCACTGAAAGTAAAAACAATTTTGTAAGATTTCTTCTAAATGAACATTTTTAGGAAGAAGAAGAACCCGTGGAAGAAGCAGAGTACGAAGACGAAGAAATCCAGACCAGCTCCACCACTGAAGCCCCTAAAAAAGGTCTCTTCAAAGGAGGTGTAAGGCCGTTCCGTAGCAACGACGATCTTCTAGCAACATTGAAAAGAAGAAGAGAACAAGCCGTCAGTAACAGTAAGCTAATTTTAAGATCGATACAATTTAGTCATACATAATAAGAAAGCAAGATTGTGCCCAATATAAATCGAAAAAATGCAATTTCTAAACTTTCAATATGTTAATAATTATTTTGAAACGGCCAATTTTAATTCATTAGTGTTATGAATTATTTAGTAATAATATCAATGGATTGGATAAATTAATGGAATTTTTTAATCCCCCACAGTTAAATTTATAAAATAAATAAAATATTATTACTTAAATATTCCATAAAAATTATTTGCATTGTTTCTAAGTTTTATTCTTGGTCAATACTTATTAGACTATCTCTTCTTCTTTAAAAAATATTTAACATTTTTACTATTATTATAAGAGCATCTAAAATAAAAAATACTGTACATTTTATAAAAAATTCTTTTGTACCTGACTCACTTAGAACTGAGACGTTTTACGCTTGAAAACAATTACTAGTTACACTAGTTGGACAATGAAAATTTTGTACCACTAGTGTAGCAATGAAAATAGGAAGGCTATAGTTGTTAATTTTGTTTACAATCAGTATAAACTATAAATTACAGCTATTTTTTACACACAGTTAATAAATACTTCCATAAATATGGTTTTAAACTTTGTACACATATTTGGAATTAAATTTTATAGGTAAAGGTGGGTAAATCAGAAAAAAACATAAAACAATGTTAGAAAACTTAACCTTTAATAAATAAATACCCAATTGCATTTTTTACTATTAAATCATGGTTTTAGTGCATAATGTCTCTTTGGATTAATTCCAATTCCAATGAAATTAAATTTAAAAGGCAAATAATCCCAAAAATAGTCTATTATATATAAAGGTTTATAAAATTTAATGCCATTTTATTAGGCACGAGCGAGCTTGCAATCGAGTGTTTAATAAAAACGAGTGTCTAGATAAGTTTATCAAACGAGTTGCATACTATACAGCCATTCCACGCTACTCGGGAACTGTTGTAGCGTCCGTTACAATAAAAAATTGTGAGTAAAAGCTACCGTAATTAAACTAATAGTATATTCTGTAACAAGTATGGAATACAGCATATTCCGCTCGAGTGAAGAGTTTGTCACACGAGCCGAAGGCTCAAACATGTTTATTTTGCTTGTAATATTTAGGTTTAAGCTTATAAGCATCATAATTAAGGTACTTTTATTCACAATCTTTGATTGTAACGTTCGTACGTCCGCACGGACGCTACAAAAATTCCCTAGTAACGTGGAATAGCTGTATACTTTATCTACGACGAACAATAAAGCTAACTTTAGCCCGTGACTAAAATGTCCAAAAATCACTCTTGTTAACATCAGAACGTGACTAAATGCAGTCACAGCAAGTCACAGCCCGTCAATGCAGAAGTAGATAAACAATGTTAAAAAACACTTATATGTCAAATCATTTTAACAAAAGTATTAATTTGTATTTATTTTTTTATTTAATTGTGGCACACAATAATAGGTGCAACTCGATTATAGTCGATTATAAACTCATATTCTTGCCCCGCTCGCTACTCTCGGGTGCCAAACGAATGCTAGTTTATAATCGACTAGTTTTTCACTTGCTGCAAAACTTTTAAAATTTATTATAAAAAAATAAAGGGTGTCATATTTGCCATAATATATTATATACAGGGTGTTGAATAAGGAAACTGACAGGTAAAGTGACCATTCGTCCCGGATTTTCGGAGACACTCCCGGATTTTATGAACATGTCCCGCAAGAGTTAAAGTCCCGGAAACGTCCCGGATTTTGCGGTTAATCACTAGGTCTTTTTACCAGAAATCATAATTTCTTACACAAAATAATAAATCTGAGAAAAATAGAATAGAGTTACACATTCGTAAAACTTATAATTGTTCACAAAATAAAAAAAAACAGTTTCAGCCGCTCACGAGTAAAAAAATACTGAAGAAAAATTGACTCAATAGACTGAAAATAAAGTTTTCATTGACAAAAGATTGGTTGAGATTTTTCAATATTTTCGCGTCCAAAATGTTCCCTATCATAATATAAAATGGCTAATAAAGTTCAACAGCACCATCTAATGTTCAAAAAAAATTCAGCAGGATAATCGATTTAAAATCATCAGTTGAGATATTTTTGCATTTCAAGAAATTGTCCGCTTATTTTAACGAAGCTTTAGAACCGTACTTATTTGTTTTTTGGATATTTAAAAAATCCCAGTACAAATCAAAAAATATTTTATTCTTAATAAAATGCAACAAAAAAAACTCTAAAACAATTATTTAAAGAATAATCAAATAAACGTTTGACCCTCACAGTACAGAATCCAGATTCTTGTCTTAAAAATTCATAATGATTTTTGTAGAACTTTTTGATTTCCACCATTTTTGTAATTAACAATTGAGACAAATAAATTTTTTTCAAAATTTACGTTAAAAAATACATTGTATTAGTAGTAACAGGGACGATTGAGCTCACCCCCTCCACTTTTTTCTTGTATATTTAATATAATTTTTTAATGAGTATGAGTATAAGGAACGTATGGCTGGCTCCAAAAGCGTCATTATAAACTGGTCTCTCAGTTATTTTTACCCCCTTGCGGTTCTCCTAGGTATCCCGCAACCGCATAGCATTACCTGTGTTTGTTGGAAACAAAGTTTAACCCGGTTGAAAAATCTCCCTTGGGAGATCATAGACGACAGTGCTAAAAATTACCATGCTGAAAATTCGAAAACCGCTATACACAAATCGTTCTCCCAACTGTGCGAAAACCGTTACTTGTCTTCCGTACCGAAGTATTGCCATCCACGTCGGGTTGTGTTGTGATATCAACATGAAGCTGACTTCAAGGAAGATTTAACTGCTCATTTCAACTGCTGACCAGTGGCGGCTCGTGACCATTCATGAAGATGAGGCCCATGAAACGCTATATGGCGCCGCAGGCAATTTTTTTTTGAAATTTTCAAGGTCTCGCGTTTTTGGAGAACTTCAGAATCTAAATAATAAAAATATATTATTTTAAAATATGTTCTTTCACGAGAAGATTTTCAAACTTTAGCTAGAATAATACAAAAAGTGCGGGATGAAGTGGGATTTTTATTTATTCCTTCAGCAGGTTTCCACATTACCCAGGAGGTACTGCTCATTTTTACCTATCTTACAATAATTATTTTTAGATTAATAAAGGCACAACCGCACAACAACAAAATAATAATGTACAAGCACACGATTTAACACTGAACTATAAAAAAACATGAATATTTTTATTTTTTGTGATTTTTTCTGTGGTATTTGTGTGTTAATATAATAGTATATTAAAATAAAAATGATCTTTTATAATTATTTGAATCATTTTTACATGAATTTACAACACAATAATGTATTTTACGCTTGCATTTTTATCACCACTTTCCATTTTAACGCTAAGGCAAAGACTAAACAGAAATAAGAAACTATAAACACGCATAGATCTAATTAATAAGCTTTGTTTACTATAACATTCCCCGCCTAGTTTTTTTACAACGGCTGATAAGCGAGCGTCACAGATCTCGGGACTGACTCTGCTGTCTTCCATATACTGTGGTACAAGCCCAACTTTGTGGGCCTCAATTTCTACAAAAATTCGCGTATTATCCCCGCCTTGCGGAGGTGCCGGCGGCACCGTACAGCGGTGGGGAGGGTGTTCTGTGGTGGGGAGCATGATGTTGTATCGGCAATTTGTGACGTATATGAAGCGCAAATTTTTGGGATTACTATTTCCCTATTATGCGGTCGGGCAATGATTTAAGCGTTTAGAATTAAAGTTAGAAGGGGTGCGCTCTAAATTTAAAGGAAATGTTTTAAACTTTGATGGTTTTTCGATGTTATGATACTTTTAATGACTGGAAATTAGTTTAAAAACGTTTTATATTTAAATAAGTAATCTATCGAAAATTTCAAATTATATTATAATTTTAACATGTGAGGCCCGGCCTCAGTTGCTTTATACGACGAGCCGCCACTGCTGCTGACTTCAGAAAGGATTCAGCCATATTAGCCAGTCGTTATTTTTCTAAGCCAGTCATAGTCTACCTTGTCTTCGTTGTTAGTATCGACTTTGTAGAAGATTCAGCCAGACTTTCTTTACCGGGCTGAAGGAAAGTTGAAAATAGCTATTTACAAATTATTGTCCCTTTGTGTCAAGTCCTCAACTTGTCTTTGGTACGAAGTATTGTCGTCCACGTCGGGTTGTTGTATAATATGCAGTTGTTCAGCCAGTCGTTGTTTACTAGCTGAAAATAGTAACAGATAGGTACACAGATTATTTTCAGTATTGCCCTTTATTCGGCTGTATTGACTTTTCTGTGTTTAGGTTATTTCTTAATTGCTTGCTCGTTCAATGCATTTTAAGGGTCAATTGTTTATACCGCCCTCGGTGGTGTAGTAGTTAGCACAAGCCGAGAGGTCGTGGGTTCGAATCCCACCAGGGGTATGGTTGTTTATTTGTGTTTGTCATTGTGTATTTCTGTAATTGGGCCTGGTGCCTGTTGAAAGCACATTAAAAATAATAATAATAATAATAATAATAATAATAATAATAATAATAATAATAATAATTTTGGTCTCGTTAAGTTTTAAACCCTTTATTTTTGTTGGGGTTGGCGTTTTAGGTTTATGTTTAGGTTTTGTGACGTTCTTAATTCACTAATTGACCGCAGTGCAAAATAGAAACGCGTTGTTTATATATATTTTTTTTACTTTTTTACTTTGTTGTCTTCAGACCAATTTTGCTAGTTTTCTTGGTATTGTTTTTTTTTCTTTCTGGTGGTTGTGTTTAGTAAACACTGTTTACGCGGAAATAACCGCCCTTGGGGTTGTAAAGGTCATGCACTTATCGGTTTTTGCAGATGATGGACCCTTCCATTCTTGGTTATACTCTTTTGTTTTACCTTGTAAGGTTTCTATTGGCCTCTGGTTAATTTGCCAGAAATGCTGTCACTTCTCACTTCTTATTACTTTCGTGTCCGTATTGTTTTAGCTCA